ATGACGGATGACATGAGAAAGTTGTGCAACTGCTACACTTACTGTTGTTTATGTGTAAAAGTTTATACTAAAAAATGTCAGGTTTAGGAAAACCTTAATTTTGATATGCTTGTTTGGAAAAGAACATCTCAAATATAATACGTAGTAGTATTTTATATTTTAGTGGTTTAGGATGTAGCGTTAGTCATCATGCAATTAATTTTAGTATTTAACAATTGTATATTTTGTATTGTAACGATACAAAAAAGGGGGTCACGGGGATGAGATTTTCTTTTTTGCGTTTAAACTATTGTTGATCTCCTATTCATTTGATGTATTCATTCAAGTGATTAAATGATGTTTTTATCGTTTGTAAAATACGGGAAATATATGTTTTACACGGGGAGTGAAAGTTTTTTTCCTATTAAAACGGACCGACATTAGTTTTCGTTTTAAAAACGGTACGTGTTTAAAACACGTTTTAAACGCAAAAAGCTAACTAGGAATTTAGTTTGGACGCAGGAGGTTATTCCTTCTGTTTGTCCGGACTCTAACCCAATCGCCGTCGCTAACCCTACAACCGCAACTCTATCTCTCTCTTAATGTTCGAGATTTAGGGCACCCCACATCAGTCTTGGCTTATTATGTTTGGACGCAGGAGGTTATTCCTTCTGTTTGTCCGGATTCTGCTTTGTTTTTTAGGCCCAACTCTCAGTGGACTTTTACTTTCTTCCTTTCTTTTTGGGCCTACAGCTGGAATTCTCTAGCTTGGGCATGTACATCCCAATCCTAATCCTTTTCATCAATAAAATTCGGGTAAACGTTTCCCGACGTTTACCACACCCAGTAGGGTGGATTCTCGGGTTAAAAAAAAGCTAACTAAGAATTATTTATAGACACCGTAATTTTCAATTCTTATTTTTGTGTTTTTCTTTTTCTTTTACTACCCATGTTCTCTCTCTTCTCTTCGTCACCGGTGGTCTCTCAAATCCACACGCTTCAGCCGCCGCCTGCAATCTTCTCACCGTCGTATGCAGCCGCGTGGTTCCCGCCGGTGTTCACGTGGACCCCAATACCGATAGCGCTCCACCCACAACAGCCACCACAAACCTCAATTTTCTCCAGTGGCAGTACAGGTTCTCCGTCTGAGGGGTCTTCAAGGTTTGCCGGTCCGACTTTTGCAGGTGCTCCGGGCATCGCTCCGCTCACTTTTCGGGCGTCATAAGCCCCCACACCCTGGGTCCCACAGCTCCAGGTTCTTCTTTGACTGATTTGGTTAAACATATGGGAAAATAATTAAAATACCCAAACTTTGAAGGAGTGTGAGATGAACACCCCAAACTTGCATATGTATTTTAAATACCCCAAACTTTATATAAAAAGTTAATTTGGCACCATAGTCAAGTATTATTTTTTTAAATGTAAATTTATGGTGTTAATTACATAATTTAAAATATTTTAGAATTCATGAAGGCACAAATAACATTATAAACTTCCATTGCAAAATAAATAATGTTACTCCCATCCATATAATTGCAACACTTTTAATTTTCTATTTTAAATTATACAATTAACACCATAGATTTACATTTTTGAAAGAAATAATACATGACAATGGTGGGAAAATAACTTATTATATAAAGTTAGGGGTATTTAAATTACATACGCAAGTTTGGGGTGTTTACTTGACACCCCATCAAAGTTTTGAGTATGTGTATTACTTTTCCCTGAAAAATATTGGGTTTTTTGCACTAATTGTCACACATATTGTTACTACCAAATTAGCCACGGTGGGGGATTATCTTTCTTGGTGTTCTCAGCTTGAGTCATTTCGGGTGTCTAATGGATTTTTGAGTATTTTAGATGGTTTGATTCCTGCTCCTCCCCCTTATGATTATGATATTTATCATCGTGAGATAATTAATCCGGAATACTGTCATTGGTTAAAACTAGATCAAACTGTTCGTTCTTGACTTTTTTCCACATCATCTCGTGATGTATTGATTGAGGTGCATGAGTTAATTAAAGAATTCTTTTGCTATTTGGGATCAGTTGCAGTCCCATTTTATGTCTGGTAGTCTTGCACGTTCCATGGAATTGAAATGACAACTATCACATTCTAGGAAAGGCCCTAATCAGTTCATGGAACATTATCTTAGAGACATTAAAATTATTGTTGATAATTTAGCTGCCATCATTGCTCTGTTTCTACTCGTGAACTGTTCCAATATATCTTGCTTGGTCTTGGATGGGACTATGAGTCTCTTATCAGTCTATTTTCGGAGAGCTTCACATTTTAAAAACTTCGGACCAAGTTGGTTGAACAGGAACAAAGTTTTCAGTACATGCGAGCATGCGCTCTCAGGAGGAGCCTCATCACGCACACGCGTTTGCTGGTCAGGCGCAAGCACAGGCTGCGGCACAGCCTCCACAACAGGGCGGACAGCCGCATGTGAGACGCGGTCAGCGCGGCCAGGGTTGTCGCGGGCAGTGAGGACATGGGGGGAGCGGGCAGCGTGGCTGGGGCTACGGCCCACATCAACTCGGTCATGGCTATGGACCACAATTTGGTCATGGCTACCCCCCACATGGCTATTTTCTAGGGGGTGCAGCACATACTTGCATTCTTAGGGCTCTAGGTTCGACATGTATGTCTGCTCATTCGAATTTTTATACTTATGTTTTACCTGCCTCTTTTACTAACCGTGGTTGTGCAGGCTCTTCTTCGGTTGAAGGGAACTCTGTCCGTCCTCCTGTAGTCTGTCAAATTTGTTATGCTCCAGGTCATTCCGCTGCGACTTGTCCGCCCCGCTTTGTTCTGCCGGTGTCACCTGCTCTTGCTGCTAAAGCTTCTGACATCGTGTGGGATCCTGAATCAGGTGCCTCAACACGTATTTTGTCCAATAAATCCATTTCTCCGGTTTCCCATTCTATTATAGTAGCAAATGGTACAACCCTCTCCATTATGCATACTGATCATGTTACATTAACTTCCCCTCTTCTTAAAATCTGTTTTTCATGTTACCAACATTAAATACAGTCTTTTGTCAATTCAAGAATTTTATGCTGATAACAACTGTGATGTCACTTCTGACAAAAATTGTTTTTTTGTTAAGGACACAATAACGGTGGCGTTTTTTCTTCGAGCATTTAGTGATAATGTCTATCCCGTTCGCCAACCTGCGCCTTCACCTGTTCCCTTGTTTGTTGTTCCTATTTCCTTATGGCATAATATATAGATTATGACATTGTGGTGCTCGTGTGTTAAATCAGCTTAGATTGAATACATTTATTTCTAACACTTCTGCTTCTATTTCTGATTGTATTCCCTATCATTTAGGAAAATCTCAACGCTAGCTTTTTAATAAAGTTTTTCCCAACAGTCCTCATGCATTATATTTAATTCATTATGATGTTTGGCAGTCTCATGTGCTTTCTCATCTTGGTTTTAAATATTATGTTTGGTTTGTGGAGGATTTTTCTACTTTTACCTGGTTATATCCCATGTGGCGTAAGTATGAGGTTACTACTTATTTTCATCATTTTAAATTAATGATCGAAAATCTTCTTGACCGCAAAATCAAGATTTTTCAAAGTGCTGAAGGGGTGAATTTGATAATTTTAATATGCGAGTTTTTTTTACTGATCATGGAATATTAAACCATTAAACCTTTGTGGGCTTTGCAAATGGTATTATAATTGTTTTGTACTTTATCATTGCACATATGGGCCAAGGGCTCAATTAGTTAGTAATGACTCTTTGTACATGTATTAATAGACACTCTCGGTGGAATAGAAGGTAGAGGGAATATTTCCCATTAAACTTTATATTATTTTCCTTTCAAAGATGGTATCAGAGCAGTGAGGGGACTCGGCGCTGCACTTCATCGTTTCTAACAGCACTAGCGTGCTTAGAGCATCGACAGAATATGAGCGGCGACCCAACTTCCCCTTTCTATTTGGGAGCCGAAGACCAACCCGGAAACCAAATTACTCATGTTGTGTTCAAAGGAGATAATTATGTGGATTGGTCACGGGCTATTGCTTTGGCATTGAAAGCTCGCCGGAAACATGGATTCATCGATGGAACCATAAAGATACCGACCGATGCAGTGAGATTGGGCGACTAGGAGACAGTCAACTCCATGGTCGTTTCATGGCTGCTACGATGTATGGACCAAGCGGTGACGACGTCAATTCCGTTTCATGATGAAGTCCGTGCATTGTGGGTGTATTTGGAAAACCGCTTTAGCGTGGCCAACGGACCTCGACTGCAACAGCTTCGCGCCTCCATCACGGATTGCCGACTGATATTCACTAATTAGTAGTGCATAAGTTTGTGTTTTTATCTTTGATTTGTATGAATTGTTTACCATTTTAATTTAGTTGTAGCATTTGTGTAACTTTAGTTGTAATTGTATTTTAGCTTTCATTTGTTAGTTGTAAAGTTAAGTTAGGATTTGTAGAGTTGAAAAAGAAAACTTTGAAGTGAAGGAAACTGCCAAACATTACACTTACTCGTTCGGGTAAGGCATTGTACTCGGTCGGGTATGACCAGAAAACATGCAGCTGCTGGGAAATACACTTACCTGGTCAGGTAAGGCATTGTACCCGGTCAGGTCTGACTTGACCCAGGACATTTTAACGTGCCGAAGATCACCAGAACGTGGAGAATATCTAATTTTGACCGGTACCCGGTCGGGTAAGTACTATACCCGGTCGGGTACCCGACCAAAGGTGTTGAAAAACACCTATAAATAGCACACTTTTCCTTCACAAATATTCATCCCTTCTTCCATACTCTTAAGCTCAGTTTAGAATAGCATTTCTTTATATTTTTCTAGCTATGCTTAGGCTCCAAACGAGGAGCTAAACTTCCATTCTTGGTTTTGCTCTTGATGCTTGTTGATTATTAAAGTTGTGAGTTATTTTCTCAACTTCTTCTCTTGATTATTAATTATTCCCTTAACTTCAATCTATATTAATGTTAGAGGGTTTCTAAGTGACGATTAGTTAATGCTCCGAGGACAAGTATTAAATTCTGATACAGAGTGTATAAGTAGCACAGTAAGAAAATAACGCCAATCAATACGAGTGGAGATCAATAATAAGCACCGTTGCCCTTATTACCGACTGCAAATAACCGAGAGGTCCGAGATTCAAAAGCGATGGAAAGATAATAGTCATAACACCTTTACTGTTGAAAATACCCTGTATTACATTTGCCGGCGAAACGTAGGACATATTTACCTGTATAATGAGAACGAACTAAATGAAGATTACACAATATACACATGTAGTATTCATCTTTCCCTCTTCCTTGATCATTCTGCATCCTGATGCAGGTAAATTGTTTTTAAGTTGGGCAAATATGTAAGCTTGTGGTGTCTGATTGATTGAGAAAAATAAGAGGGAGACACAGTGATCAAGCTGGTAAAAGTATCTTTTAGAGAACTTACCGCAATATAGTTTCTGACATCAGAGGATGTTTGCATAAGTCCTCCACTAATATATGACTGGGCATTTTCTTCAATATTCTCCAGTCTGTTTTTTTTAAGTCATGTCAATTCAGAAATCTTATGGACAGAATGTTTGTAGTAATTAGACAATGTAAGTTTCCAATTAAACCAATGAACAACTAATCTTCCACATGTAAAAGGTAAAAAAAATGCTGGTCTTAATTAATGAAATGCAAGTGGGTTGGGTGGAGGTGTAGGAAGAGGTAGAATTAGCACCTCTTCTAAACCATGAGTGTTGATAAAAACCACTGGGTAAGAAAAAGGAAATAATTGAAAGAGATGAGTTTAGAGCGACACAAGTTTTACCTGTATATGTAATTTACCATTATACCACCACTTTGGTTGAGGCCCTTTTCAGATTTGTCAGCCATCCAATTAAGTCTTCCAACTATCTGCAAAGGAAGATATCTAACATAAATTTCAAATCATGATGAAGTAACAGTCAGTTAAGCACGTGTTATTTTACATCCTTCTTGTCATTGGACGTAGTCACTTGTCAGGCATGTCATTGGAATATTAGGTTATTAGAAATTACTAATTGCACATGCACTTGTCATCCGGAAACAGTCTCTTTGTGCATTAGTACAGGAGTAAGGCTGTACACCCGACCCCCCTTACCCCACTGTAGGTGGGGAGCCTTTGCGGCACTAGGGTAATGATGATGATGATGATGGCATGCACTTGTCATAAAAAGAAATGAATTTATTAATATCTACTTATCGTACTGCCCCATTTTGCAAGTGGAAATTGGCAACAGAGTCAAGAGCCTTTCCTCTCTTCTTCTCATGGAGAAGGTACCTGCAAACCCAAAAGCAAACAGATGGAACTTGGGAAATAATATTTAATGTGTGCCCCTGAGGACATGATAAGAAGCAGTTAATGAACTTCATTTTCAAGTTTGAGAAAGGATTTACAATTTTAAGAAAAAATAAATGTTTCAAAAATCGATGCTACTATGTTTAGAATTCATTCATTTATCACTATAATGAAGGACAATTTAAGAGAACAAAAAGCATTTAATGCTCATTATATGCTTCTTATCACGTGTCCATGGGAACACTTTAGAAAATCCTGAAGTGACCAAAGATTTTGAGGTCGGCTAACATGAATTGATACATGATATCGGAGGCAAAAAGAACAGAAAGATAAGAATGATAAAAACATTAGGTATGATAAAAAAGATTAAAAAAATAAGATAAAGATATAAATGATAAGCTAAAAAGAATAAAAAGAATATTTATATAAAATAAAAAGGATAAAAGGATAAAGAACATAAGAAAGATAAAGAAGATAAAAGGATAAAGAAGATGAAAAGAGATATCATTTTTTTGTTGAAGTTAGAATGCAAAAATATATTTCTCGTCTCCTAAACTTTCAAACCTTCACAGTTTTCTTCAATGTACCTAACACAAAGTCGCATTAGAGGGGCTCTAAGCACAGATATCAACATTGTTGATCTAGTCCACTCATAGTCCTTTGATGCCAACATATTCCGCAGTACGTCAATACCACTTCTTCCTGTATTCAATTCCCTGAAAAAATTATCATGACAATCATAATGAGAGATAGTTTTTACGGAAGAACACTATTAGCAACATTTCTATTCTTTAGAATGTGTTTGTCGCTTCAGGAGAAAGACAAACTACCGATATTAAGTAGATGATGCCCTCTTATTGTTTCTAACCTTTAGACCCTCAAAGAGCTGGTCCATCAAATCTCATATAAAAGCTACATAATACACATTCATATTCTAATATCAACACTTTCAATTCTTCTAAATAACATATCGCAATTAGAATTATAAAAAAAAGTTTGCATATAATACTGCTTACCCTGATGCATCTAAAATGGCTCTTTCTTCATCTGGATTAAGTAAGTTCTCTCTAAAGGTTGAACTTGATCTCTCTGAAGAAGCCAACTTAGAGAGCAGCCATTGCATGTAACCAGGAATAGGGCTTAGTGTTGCAAAAGTCTGGTAACAAATTGTATGCATTAGCACATGAAGAATTTCACAACTGTTAACTCAGAAATCCAGCAGGTAGGAGGGTGCATAGAGCATATGCGGCATACTTTAGCAGCAACATAACAGAAAGAAGGTATAGTAGACACTATAAATTCTATGCTACCAACATTACTGAGATTAATACGATGATAATGAAGGACAAATACAAAAAAACTTACAGAGATGGTGGGCAAATCCTTCTTTACCACATCAATCACTCGCTTGATTAGAAACTTTCCAAGGTTGATTCCTGATAAACCGGACTGTAACAGACATGTGCAAATGATGTCTTGAGTGTTAAGAAAATTGTTATTAAATTCCCATATTACTTTACTGAAAGATAACGTAACGTCACTAGTCGTTATACATACATAAGGATGACAACATTCAATTTAAAGGGATTAAGATTAACTGTAGCAATACAATGTGAATATAGATAACAGTTTGTCAGCATGTCTCTCATTATCTTTCTGAACTCAAGCATATTGGTAATGTTTTTCGAGAATTAGCTTTGTCAAGTTAACATAATTTCAGAATCAGGAAGTGAGGAAACTATTGCTTTTACGATATTCCAACTGTAAAGTAAGAACTGGGTTTTTTCAAATCTCAAACTGTCTGGCCGTGTCCTTACATAGTTGCATGTAGCATAGTTCTTAAAGAATAGATATTTATGTGCACCTGAGTTGATGAAATAGAGTAAAATAGTGCACAGCTGGCATCACATTCCAGTGTTGGAGGATCATCCCATAAGACCTCCTGCAGTAACTCTGCATAGTTATGAAAGGCATATTTGGGCTGAATAATAAGTTATCTATCTTAGACAAACTCCCACCTGTATCGTCTGAGCCACATCTTTCATAAGTGCCACTTCAATAAAAATAAGAGGTTCACCTGAAGATAGTCCATCATTAGAATTTACTGAAGCGGTAGATTTTCTGGCATGGTTTAATTTACTCCAAGCACCTATTGAGTATTGAAAATAAGATGTGGAAGTCTCGATCGTGTTGGTTTGTTCATGTGCGTAGAAGATCGAGTGATGCACCTATCGGAGGAGTTGGGAGGTGTAGAGAAGAGGCGGGGAGGAGAGAGAGGGGGGGAGATGCAAACCAACGTAGATTAGAGGAGTCAGGAGTGGTATACTTCTTCTTGGAGTGGAGGACGGATATTCGTGTGGAGGATTAATCTCTTACCATCTTTTTTATCCTTCTATCTTCTTTATCTTTTTTAAGTTTTTTATCTTTTTATCATTTTTATTTTATACATATTCTTGTTATCCTTTTTATCTTATCATTTTTATCTTTATCTTATATTTATCTTTATCTCTATCTTATTTGTTTTTTTTATCTTTTTTATCATACCTTATATTGTTATCTTTCTTTTCCTTTTTGGCTCCGATATTATGTACCTATTCATGTTAGCCGACCCCAAAATCTTTTGAAACTAAGACATGGATGTTGGTGTTGCTGTTTTTGTGATTAATTTACTCCAGAACAAATTTTTCATCAGACTCAATGGTGCAAGTCTATCCAGATTCCAGGTAAGAAATAGCCAAAAATTCTACAGCTTGCTATGTGTGTGTAGTACAACTAACCAGGAATTGCTGGATGAAAATAACCAAAGCAACGACGACCTACTCCTAGCCTTCTTTTGAGATCTATAAGATTGCTTATAGGATGTACAGCCTGTTGATATGAAATATTATAAAGTTCTCTATAGCATAAAATAATATCAGTGATCAAAAAGTGAAATAAAAAGGACCTCATATGCTACAATCTTTTCCAACAAAGAAGCAGGATCATCCCATGTTATATTGTGGAGCTCTAGATTAGCAGGGCTCAGCCATGTAACCAGTTTCTCTTTCAAGAAGGAGTCTAATGCTCTCAGTGACGGAGCATTTTCACCCCTGTAAATCAGTGATTTCATTAATCACAAAATTGTTTCCTCCATGAGTACATTGCAGTTCATAGAGACAAACTCTTTGGGTCCGTTAGAACCTAGAAAGTACTAGAGAAAGTAGGAGTAAAATTGAGAGGGTATTTGAATGAGTTTGGGAAAAAATGGTTCAAACTCAATAAATCAATTTTATTAATATATTCTATTACTTAAATACTTACAAGAATCTAAGTACTTGTTAAATTCACAAAAAAAAAAGAATTGATTTTTTTAATTGGCAAAGTAAAACCATCATCATTACCTCGGTGCCGCAAAGGCTCCCACCAACTGTGGGGTAAGGGAGGTCGAATGTACGCAGTCTTACCCATGTACTAAAGCACAAAGAGACTGTTTCCAGATGACCCAGAGTGAAAATCGCGTCGAAAATTGTATAGATTGATTGTAGCTTCATAACTAAGAAGCGCAGACAGTTTAGTGAGTCATTTTGTTTTATTACATCACATTCTCAAGCTAAACATAAAAAACAGTTTTCGTTATATGTTCCCTTTCCCTGCCATTTCCACGTTCAAAACACCGGCTTCGTGCTTATCATGAACTCAACTCATGGTTTACACATTCTTTAGCACAAAGGACGGAAGGGCCAAAATTGCTCAATGTGTGAAATAACCTTACGAGAGAATCAAAATAATATCAGCGCGCATATCAGACAGGAACTTCAGTCCTCCAGGATGTGTATTTAGGCGCTCAAAGAGGACCTCATACATTGGCTTTAAAGCATGTCTCAGATTCCGCTCTATTCTGTAGAATGCAGACACTGACCCTTCCTCTTCATGCCCACAGTCTTTATCCTTATCTGCCAAAGCTTCATACTTTAAACCCTAACTACAGAGTAAAAATCATTTAAACCAACAATTTCTCAAGTAAATAATTTTTGAGCACACCACTGGGAAGCTGAAGATCAAGATACTGTTTCATCATTTCACGAACCTGAGCCCGGTTGAGATCATAATCTCGGGCTAGTGCAAGAAGCAAATCACGACGGCTTTCATGGGAAAGGCCAACATAACCCTAGATAAAAAAAAAAAGACATACTCAATAAGCTTACAATGATTAAAAACGTCAATGATGCAATAAGAATCAACCCACTTACCCACCTCAGAAAACCCATTTAGAGCAGCATCTAATATTTCTGTCTTGTTCATTGATATTGCAGAGTGCATCCAATCCCTTACTTGAACAGGGTGCCTGAAACCATCACATAATTAATTCATCAACAACTTAAAGTCACAATTTCCAAGAACATTTAAACATGGCGATTCACGTTAATCATTAAGGCCCAATTTAACTTTCATCTGTAACACACGAATCGGATACAAGTTTCAACAACAAGAAATAAAAAGTACTGACCTTTCCGGATCAGAGGACTCAGTCGGAGCAGAAATTTGGGTGCTTTCTCGGGGAGATGTCTCCATTTTGTGCACTTTGTTCTGTTTTGCATCCGATCACAACATATGAGGCTTATCCCATAAAGAATATGGAAAACCTTAAAGTCCAAAAATACATACATGATACAGCATAACTGCACAGTTGTTCCGAATACAGCAAAGAAATAAGGCATATATAATGTATATTTTAAGCATCTTAGATTATTAGCAATACGCCAATACTCACGGAAGAAGGTGACTGAGGGCGCACTTTCGTACGCAAAAGAATTGCGAGACCTTTCTTATTCATTTTACGGCTCAAAGATGCTGACTTTGAGCCACTGATCTATGCTTTGTTCTTGCATCTCCTTTCCGCTTTTGCCTACTTGTAAACAAATTGGTACCTATTCGGTTGTGCAAGTACCTGATCTTACACGTGTGACATCCACTAAAATAGTTTTGATGTTATAAGGGAAATTAGAATAGTAAAATTTGTTAGGTTGAGGTTTGTGCAGGAGAGAAAAATAAACAGAAACACAAAAATATTGCTTTAAAAAGAAAGTGCAAAGTTTTTTGGGACAAAAAAAAGGAAAATTGGCAAAGTCCAGTGGAACGGAGGGAGTATATTATAAGATGCCTGCTACGGTAATCAGCCAAAATAGAAGGGTACCATACCTAGCATGTATTTCATTGGTACAACTTAAAGTTTCATATTTTATTTACATTTAAATTATTGAATTGAAGTTTTTTTATTGGTCCATACCTTCATTGGTACGGTACCTTGTAGATATTGCCATATTATAATACCCCCTCCGTCCCTAATAACTTTTCCAAGTTTGATCGTGTTTGTCCCATTTTATATGATTACAGCAATATAAATGGATATAACAAAGATTAGAGTAACAGAAAGATGAACACAGTGAAGATCCATTAAACTCCTCTTTGATATACCGTGAACTTTACAACACAAGGATGAGCGTTAAGGCTGATAAGATCAAATGCAAAGTTGACGCAAACCTATCCCTTAAGCGCCTTTTTATATGCGCATGTAGGTTTGCGTACAGGCTTTACACCTGGTATGTGGGCCAGACATTTGGGCCTCATACCCTTTACTACTCTAATAAATACAACAATTAATACAATCAATGAGTAATAAAGGCTAGACAAAATACAATGTATTTGACAAACTTGATTCACAACAGAATAATCTTCAACAATCTCCCCCTTTGTGATCAAGTATCGCCTTGCGTTTCTTTCTGAGACTTGAAGTAATGTTTCCTGAAGTTCGGTGCATACTCATATGATCTCAACGACCTTCTCTTGTCAAGTTGTTTGTTGATGGGCTTCAAGATGGTCTCCACTTTGTCGCACCCTTTCAGCTCTTCATCAGTAGCTTCAGCAAGTCTTTGGTCGAGATCTTCTGTAATAGATTGTAGCTTTTTCTGAATGATTTTCAAGGTCCCATCACAATACTTGTGGATGTCTTCTGCCCACATGAGGTGCTTTTGCTCTTTATGATTGAGATAGAGTATTGAGATTGGATCCTTGAAAATATGATACGGTTCATAATCTTCTAGCTCGGCATCGTACAAGATTGGCTTTGTGAGATTGGCCTTTCGAACATTGTTCTCGAGGGCCATTTGCAGATCATGAGCAGTGTAGAATCTGATTTGCCTGAGCATAAACCGTTTGATTGCCTCAAATCCTTCCTTGTAGACTCTGTTGCAATTTAGCGAGAGATGTCTGCATACCATGAACATCTGGTAGATGTCATCCATTTTCATCATTATGAAGTCATTCTCTTGGCAAATAAATACGCTCGAGTCCGTGCGCTGAACTTTGAAGCTGTAGAATGGCACTGTGTGGTGGTCTTCTTTATGCACATCGAGAATACTGTTGATTGGATGAATGTTGAGCCTCATATCTCATTCAAGAATCTATGTTTGTTTTCCTGATGACCTATGTTGTAGCATGTGCAGATGTCTACCTACATATTTGCCTTTAAGATGCGTGAGGGCACGGATTTTCAGTTCATCGAGTTTCTTGAGCTTTCCAGGTATTCTCCAGATTCCCTTTTTGATTTCCTCTTGAAAGGGGGCATTGATTCATATGTTCTCCCAGGGCTTTTCTTTTGAGGGCATTTGACCCGCTGATTGTCTGATTATCGTCTCAAGCTCCTTGGGAGTTTCCTTATAATTTTCCCCTTCTTTGAGTTCCTCTGTGTCAAGGCGTATTATATCTTCAGCACATCTGACCAGTAGTTCTCGAAGCCACCAGTTCCGTTGCATATCATCTGTTTCGACTTCGCATTTGAGATTATCCCATTCTATCCATTTGTATGGCCACTTGTCATGTATCACTGCATCCTCTAGCGCGTCATGGATGTCCTTGGACGGAAGAATGTATGGAACTTGTTCCTGCTGTTGGAGCGGTGATCTTTCTTGGGAAGCACAACCGGGTTCACTCGGATTGCCCGTTGTCATCAGGTTTGAACTAGGTTCTGGTTGATGGCCTAACATAATAGATGTATCTGTAGTAGCACCATCAGGACTTCCATCCCCTCCTCGAACAGTGTCTCTTGGAGACAAGCCTCGGGATGTTGTCATCAGTTTTGAACTGAGTTCTGACTGATGGCCTGATTCTAATGATGTACCAGAGGTAACAACGTCAGGACTTCCATCCCCTCCTCGGACAGTATCTCTTGGAGATAAGCCTCGGGATGTTTCAACTAGCTCGACCGTGCTAGTGAGTTTGGCTTGGTTTTGGCTAGAGGTGGGTGGTTGTTGGTTGGTTGATGATGAAGGTTGGGTTGGCTGCGGGATGTAGCTACTAGAAGCACCTTTCTCAAGTGTTTGTGGCCGCTTGTTCTCCCCCTCATGAGGTTCTGAATCGTTGGAGTCCTCATGCGAACGTTTGTGGCCACAGGGACTTTCACGGCAAGTGCTCGGTTGTGGGCGGTTATGTTTGTGGAAGACCGCTATTAGATCCTTTTAATAAGGTGTAAGGTCATGGTCATTAGTGGAAAGGGGGCGGAGGAAAAGGATGTCAGCTAACTGAGTGGTAGATATGTCATAGGGATTCGGATAGGGTGTGGTCGACGTAGGGGTGAATACTAGCTCTGTATCATGGGTTCCCCGAGATGGTGAAGATATGGGAAGTTGGTTGGAAGCTGTTGGGGTAGGTAATGGTTGGGTGTGAGAAGATGAGGGCTCAGGTGGAGGTTTGAAAAGGGGTTGCTCAGACTGAACCGTTGGGGTGCTCTTGGATTCCTGTGCATGAGCGGTTATTGCTTCAAGCACCCATGGTTTGATGATGGAAGCCATGAAACGATTCAGAAGAGCGGCTACATCTTCAAAAGTGGGGTTACCAGTTACTGGGGTTGTAACTGTTGTCACAGCATCAGTGAAGATAGCTGATGTGTGGCCTGCGTTGAATGGTGAAACCATTGTGTGCGTAGCAGGGCTTCCGACCGTCATTGTTTGCACTCAGGTCGTTGCGTTCAGGGTGTGTGCACCTGTCTGTGCAGTGAATAGTGTAGGTATCCTAGAAAAAGTAGAAAATGTGGGAAATGTGACACCTAGACTTGATGTGATTGGAAGAGGGGTTATGGCCTCGGGCTGGTGGCCACTAGTTCTCTCAACAGATTCAGAAGGAATCGGTGAGGGGGGTTGGTCCCATGATTTTGAAACGTTAGCCTGTTGGGAGGCTAATGAGTGGCCAGGAGAGGGCGGTGCATGTGCATTTGAGCCTGATGCTGCGACTTCTACTCGGGAACCGATAAGATCAGCTCCTGTGCTTAAGGATTCAGCTTGACTTATAGTGATGAAGGGTTCACAATCTGCAAATATTGCCATGTCAGCTTCGTCAATCAGGCCTCTGGTAACCAGCCACTTTTTCACTGGCTTGGATGATGGAGGGGCATTGTTTCTGATTTTGGCATGTTTCTCCCCGATGACGACGTCCGCATTATTTTTAATTGCATGCGCAACCTCAACATAATCAGGCCTGGAACTGTTGATCTCGTCATGCACGGTTTTGGACTGGAGAATGTCCTTGATAGTGAAGGTTTTGGAGCGAGCGGCTATGATCGATTGTGCATCATCAGTTGTGATCTTTCGGCGAGGTGAGGCGATCATTTTGCCTTTTCGGATCAGGGCATAAGTGGCCTCCACTCCATCAATGTCGTCATCATCATCATTATCATCATTAGTATCATCCTCATCCTCACTTTGGTTGGCCACGCTATCGGATGCCTCATCGTCAGTCTTATTGGGGGCCGGACTTGACGATTCATCGGTAGACTCCTCAGCGTCCGTCGATGTGCCCTCAGCCGTCCGAGTCATCTCGAGAGAGTCGTCGGACTTTCCTTCATCAGGCCAACGGGCCACTGGTTTCTGTGATTTAGGGGCGCCGGGGTAGGTTCAGTTGGGTTTCGTTGAACCGTAGGGACCATTTTCTTGAGATCCTCTCTGTATCTAACAACTGCTGGGTTCCTTGGATTGGCTAGATTTAGCAGATAGACAGGAATAGCCATGCAAATAGTGTCATGTTTGAAGCTTTTGAAGTACTGGACCTTTGGGGCAATGAACTGCTCTTCATCTTGCCGCCTCGGGGTGCCCTTATTTGCTTGCATGTAGTCGTCTATGATGAGGGCCAACCACCGAGCGTAAGGAATTGTCATGCCAGCTTTATTGTTCTCTTTAGCCTTAACCTGGTCCACCAGTTCCGTCCAGAAGAGCTGGGCCATGTCGTAATTTTTGTTGAAGGGCTATCCCATGGAAGATTTGGAGAATTTGCAGATTGCATTTGTCGTGGCCAGCGTGCTTCGGAGATAGACACTTGTTAACAAGGCCGAACAGGGTCTTCCATGGGTAAGGTAGATTCATGAGCTTGAAGTTGGACATTAACGGTAGGGGTGCATCATAGCCCTAAGTCTCCATTCCTCTGATCAGTTCAGTCCTTGACGGGAGCGGATCGTATGTTGTGTGCACTGGCAGCTCCAGAGTGGTTCTCAGTGTAGATGGAGTTAGTATCAGCCTCCTGTTGTGCAGTGTAGCAAGGATCTTTGATTTGTCCTTCTTGGAGGGCGTGTGCATGGTATTCCATAATTGTTGCAGGTAAACTTCCGGGACAGGTTTTGCTTTGGTGAGTGCCGGCCATATGTAGTGCCCTTGGAGAATGACAGGGAAGACAGGGTGTAACACCCCCAATTTCCCACCCCAAATAAACCTTGAAATAATAATTTATCCAAATGGAAATGATGAATTTTATTTGGAAATACTTAAAATGTTGCAGCGGAATAACAAAAAGGAAATTGAGCGTGTTACCGCCACACTTAGCACACCCATAGCTAAGTGCACATGCTAACCAAAAATACTTGTCCAAATATTCTAAAGTGTGGGAAATAGAAAAGTAAAGATGTCCATTACATGTTCTTAAACCAAAAGTTCTTAAAGTAAAGTCTTATTGATGAAGATGTCTCTAAATACCGCCCTCAAGAACTCAAGCATGCATATCATCATCCAAAGGATAATCATCTGTAAAACAAAGAAGAGAAAAGCAAACAAGGAAACAAAAATTAGCCGGAAATGCTAAGTAAGTTCACCGAACCCCGTAAATTAATCATGTTTGATACATATATATAATTTTTGCAAAACATTTTGGAGGAAAACCTTTTAAAACATTTTATACCATTCATAACTAAAATAGTATTTATAAAACTTTTAATCACAAAATTCACAAGTAATATAATAATAATTGAAATATAGGCACATATTTTCAAATCACAATAATTTCCAGAAATACCAATATACATCAAAAGGTGTTATTCTTATCATATTTCTAAAGTAAAAATTTCCAATCCAGTAAATTAAAATTTTCTTCTCTTTGAGTTTCTAAAAAATTCTTTTCATTAAGCCTCCTAGTAATTTAGAAGGGCGGTGCTCAAGTTCTTATTGAGCCCGGTGGTCCGTTGTTACGTACGGCCACCCCGGACTTTTTACCGGTACAACATCTTCCCCATATAGAATCTGAATCTCTACCTTAAGTGTGCACACCCCTTGAAAGTGATTCTAAGCTCTCTGGGTAGTAAGAAGCCCAAAGTAGTCGGGATGTTTTCTACCAACTACTTCACCCAAAATTTTAATTCTAAGTGACCTGGTACCACTACTATTGCCAAAATTCACCAAATATTTATCGTTCAGGATTTTTCTACCGAACGCACCAAAATCATTTATTTAAATTGTTCGGATTGGTTACCGAACCCACCAAGCAAATAGTAGTATCCCTAATCACTCCTTCACGATTAACGGTCGTGAAGGGGACCGACACCACGGATTTCTCCCGCGATGTCCACCTTTAATTTATGAAAATAGTTTAGTCTTTTATCTCTTCCCAGAGTTTCATATAGGAATCCTTCACAATTAACGGTCGTGAAGGGGACCGACACCACGGATTTCTCCCGCGATGCCCACCTTTAGAAATATTGATTTTTCTTTGTTTTCCAAAAACCAATCAGAAGTTCGTATCTTTCAGAATATGCTAAAATCTCCATATATTTTCTTAATAATCCAATTTAATCACAGCACCACCAAAATATTCATTAGTAGAAAATCTCCCAAAAATCAAATACAATAACTCATATCAAAATCCAATAATAACGAACCAATATTTTAAGTACAAATAATATCATAGAATAATAGTTACTCAAATTCAATACACATAAATAAAATTCTCAAATATGCACATAAAAATATTCAATATAATTACGAGGCAAAAAGTATAATTTTGGTTGCAATAGAACTTACCTGAGCTCCGAGTACCCCTAGTTAAGTCTCTTACTTTCCTCCTCACACAAATCACCTTCTATTTAAAATTCACAAATCAATATCTAATCAACTTATAGTTACCTCTACCCATTATTTATGAATTCCTCTCTTATGATTTAATTGCTCAAATAATAGTATATATTTTATCAAAAATCCTTTTATTACAATTTATTTAATACAATCCATGTATATAACTATTTAAATTACATTTTATTCATTTTATTAATAACACCAGATTATCATAACCCATTTACAAAAATTTCATATTAAATCATTCAAATATTATAAGAAGTCCGATTATTATAGGTAAATTATTTTGCTTAAAAAAGGGAAAAAATGGCAATTTAACTAAAAGTGACAAGTTTGATTTAAAAGTTAACAATACAGCCCATTACCAATATTCCTACAATACATTTTATTATAAACATCCTTATTATTATTATTTGATGATTATCATTATATTATTATTATGAGTATTATTGTTATTATTATTAGTAGTAGTATTATTCCTATTATTATTGATTTTTCGGCCCAAGCTAATTTTAATCAGCCCAAAGTAATAAAACAGTCCGGCCTAACTACTAACAATTGCGAAGAAGACAGTTCGCAGAACATACTCCGTTGTCAACCTGATGCCGACCACTAATCGCAGGGCTGCACTTCCGGCGGCAACAACAGCACGAATCAAGTAGCGGGACCTTGACCCTCTTCTCCGATGGTGATGTAGACACAACACGACGATCCAGGCGAACGGCGACTGCGGCAGTGGCTTGGTCCGGCGGCCTGGTTTTCTTCTCCGGCAAGCTTCCCTTCTTCTCCGGCGTACTCCAGTCCAGCGGCTTCACTCCTCCAGATACGACGGTGTAGACTTCTCCGAGAAGCTCCCTCTTCACTTCATCACCGCGGTGTAACCAATACGTTATATGTATACTTTCGCAGTTTTTTTTTTCTTTCTTTGGCGATTCAGTTCATTACTTCGCTGATTATATATACCCGTTAATGCCTTATGCCTCCAAGTGTGTCCCGTTACTCGAGCTTTAAGTTTGCATTTATAACAATATTATGGATGGTCGGACGTTATGGTTTATGATCACGTGAATGTCATATATGCCATGCGATGTACTAGTATGTACTACGTATGAGTGTATTATTATGTATGTGCATGTATGTAGTATGATATATGTATGTGAGTTACGTGCATCATCATCCAGAGATGGTGCGCCATACTATGTATATTACGTAGTGCATTGCATGCACTACATCTTGTTAAACTAGTATTACTGTTAAACTAGCATTACTCTTATTTACTCGTACAACTTGTTTCACTTTTAATATTTTGGGGTGTTTGGAACCGATTCTGATTCTGCTTCTTTTTTAAAAAAAAAGTAGAATCAGAATCAGTTTTCAGAAGCTGGTCACCCCCAGCTTCTGAAAAAACTGTTCTAGGAGTAAATTAGAGCACCAGAATCACTTCTGCACTTTTACCCAAACACTCCAACTTCTGCTTCTGCTCCCTGAAGGAGCAGAAGCAGTTTTAAGAATCAAATCCAAACACCCCCTTTATCAGATAATTTATATCTGATTTTATTTTAAGAGTTTTTTTTTTTGAAATTTTTATGGTGTCACATTTGTAACACCCCGGCCTCACAGGGCCCGAGGTAGTTACACAGGGTCTGGGCACTTGAACAGCTCATGATCGAGCTGATAGTTGTTGTCCTGTAGCCGGACCCACTTGTCCTTGGGAAATAGCTGAGTGTCGGTGGCTTCGTTCTGCTCTGTGCCTGACATAATTAGCTGAAAAGATATGGGGTCAGCACATTAGTCCTTTTTTTGTTTGTTTTTTTTCTTATGAGTTTTCTGATTTTTTTTTTTGGTTTTTAAAAAAAATTATGGGCAGGTGGATATTATAAAAAAAATGCTAAGGTGAATTCTCGAGTTGAGGATCTCGAGGTTTAAAACTCGAGGGCAGAACTCGAGGTTTAAAACTCGAGGTCAGAACTCGAGGTTTAAAACTCGAGAGCAGAACTCGAGGTTTACAACTCGAGGTCAGAACTCGAGGGTTAAAACTCGAGGTCAGAACTCGAGGTTTAAAACTCGAGGTCAGAACTCGAGGTTTAAAACTCGAGGTCAGAACTCGAGGTTTAAAACTCAAGTTCATAACCGCGAGTTTAAAACTCGAGTTCATGATCGTGAGTTTAAAACTCGAGTTCATGAATGCGAGTTTAAAACTCGCGATCTGGACTCGAATTTGAAATGACGGGTTCTGAATCCAGTTTTAAAGCTCGAGATACAGATCCTCAAGTTCGCCTCGAAGAAACGAGATCCACCTGAAAAGAAACAACAAAAAAATACACCAATCGAATCAAAAAACCTAAAAACCAGTTTCTGAGTTTGAACGTTCGTTCGAGCGAGATTTTTTTGTTTTTTGAGATTAGGGTTGTCGAAGAATGAATCTTGATGATCGACTACCTTTGAAGATGAGTTTGGGGAAGAAGATGCGAAGGGGGGATTTCGAGAGAGAGAAAAAATGCGAAGACCGGGGGCTCTGGTTTGCGAGAACTGTGCGAGGAAGAAGAGTGAAAGAAAAACAGTGAACTCGCTATTTGTATGCGAAAAACGGGCCTTAGAGAGTTTTTGGGCCCAGACTTAAATCCGACCCTTTTGAAAACAGATAAAATCAGAGCTCCTCAGTACATATATATGCAACTAACACTCCTTTGTAATTTTTTTTGACATTCTTCGCTTTTTCTCCCCCTTGATGCATGCAACACACACTATGCACATATGCAACTCACGCACACTATTTTTGCATTTTCTGGTTTTTCTCCCCCTTGACACATGCAACACACACTAAGTCCAAATGCAACTCACACACACTCTTTTTGTATTTTACGCTTTTTCTCCCCCTTGACACATGCAACTCACGCACACTTTTTACAAGATCTACACACACACACACTATTTACAAGTCCCACACACACACACTTGTACAGACCAGTGGAGATAAAATTACACAGGCTCGAGGTTCAACATGCCTAACTTGGAGACTATGAACTAGAATCTCTTTTCATCCAACGCCTTAGTAAACAAGTCAGCCAGTTGAAGCTCAGAGCTTACAAAGTATATATCAATATCTCCTTTCTCCACATGGTCCTTGATGAAATGATAGCGCAAGTCGATGTGTTTGGTGCGGGAGTGGTGAACATGGTTGCTGGCGATGGCGATGGCGCTCTGTGAATCACTGTAGATTAGGATATGGCGGAATGTGTAACCGTAGTCTTTTAGCTGAGTCTTCATCCATAATATATGTGAACAACAGCTAGCTGCCGCAACGTATTCTGCCTCAGCTGTAGATGTTGACACACAGTTCTGCTTCTTGGAAGACCAGCAGACTAACTTCTCACCCAAGAATTGGGCGCCTCCCGAGGTACTTTTCCTATCCATACGGCAACCCGCAAAATCAGCGTCCGAATATCCAACAAGGTCAAAACCTGAATGCTTGGGGTACCAAAGGCCTAAGTTCACAGTGCCTTTGAGGTATCTCAAGATTCTTCTTACAGCGGTCAGATGTGATTCTTTCGGATTCGCTTGAAAACGTGCACATAAGCATGTGGAGAATACTATATCATGCATGCTCGACGTGAGGTACAACAAAGATCCGATGATGGCCCTATAGTTTGTAGCATCAACTATTTTCCCTGAGGGATCTGAGTCCAGTTTATTATTGGGGGACGTAAGGGTCGTCATGGAAGATTTGCCGTCAATGTTGAACCTCTTAAGCATTTCCAGAATATACTTTGACTCATTTATGAAAATGTCGTCAGATAGTTGTCGTACCTGCAGGCCTATGAAGAAATTCAGTTCTCCCGTCATGCTCATCTCAAACTTAGTTCTCATCAGCTCTTCGAACTTTTTGCACAGGCGGGGATTTAAAGAGGCAAAGATAATGTCATCGACATAGATCTGAATCAGTATGATATCAGTCTTATGTCGCTTTATGAAGAGTGTAGTATCTATCTTTCCTTTTGAGAAGCATGAATCGATCGGAAATTCAGTTAAGGCATCATACCAGACCCTCGGTGCCTGCTTCAATCCATAAAGTGCTTTCTTGAGCTTGTACATATGATCAGGGTATTTTGGATCTACAAATCCTTATGGCTGAGCGACATAGACTTCCTCTTCTAATACTCCATTTAGAAAGGCAGTCTTCACGCCCATTTGAAAGACAGTGATGTTTTTGTGAGCCGCGTACGCGAGAAAGAGGCGGGTTGCTTCAATTCTCTCTACGGGTGAAAATGTTTCATCATAGTTTATGCCCTCTTGCTGATTGTACCCCTTCGCAACCAGCCTTGCCTTGTTGCGCACAACTATCCCTTCTTCGTCTCTCTTGTTTTTGAATACCCACTTCGTGCCAATGATTGTTTTCTTCTAAGGATTAGGCACGAGCGTCCATACATCCAGCCGTTCAAACTGATTAAGTTCATCTTGCATTGCAATCACCCAATCAGGATCAAGTAGTGCTTCAGAAACCTTTGAAGGTTCAGACTGGCTTAGGAACAGGTAAAGAGGCATTCATTCACTGTAGCGGATCTTGTGCGTACACCTTGACTCGGATCACCGATTATCTGTTCAACAGGATGTGCCTTCGTCCATTTCCTCTCATGAGCTATAGGAATTGGAGTTATGATTGGCTGATCCGAGTCTTCATAAGGAATGGTGGTGGCTTGAGTAGTGGTGTTGTGCAGAGGAGATGATTCTGGGGTTGTATCAAAACCATGATCCTCACCTTCTTCGTGATTAGATTGAGAAATGGATGGCGAAGATAGTACATCTTCTAGACTAGGTAGAAGTGGGATCACAGTAGTTGGAGTAGGTTGTCGTGGAGGTACTGAGGTTGAAGCTGATGTGCATGGGGGAGATGAAGGTTGCAAATTCTCGTAAAAGTGCCTGAAGAGAGAGTTGAGAATCACACCTTCCGGTACTTTGTTGGGATCATCTTTATCAGAAGCCTGTGATACGAAGAGAGTTGGGTCAGTCTGTAGGTGTTCTATTACGAAGTCAGCCATTTCATAGAATGTCACATTTACACTCTCAATGATTGTTCGCCTGTCTCTCAGGTAGACTCTGTAAACTTTTGACTGAATTGAGTAGCCAATGAACACGGCTTCTCTGGCTTTTGGGTCCAGCTTGCTTCTCTCAGTTCGGTCATTCAGTACAAAACACTTGCAGCCAAAGATTTTGAAGAAGGAGATGTCTGGAGTTCTATTGAAAAGGATTTCGTAGGGAGTCTTTTCGAAGCATTTGTGGATAGAAGTTTTGTTCTGTGTGAAGCACGCAGTATTGATTGCCTCTGCCCACATGAAGTGAGGCAGTCTGGATTGAATGAGCATGGTGTGTGCTGCTTCGACAAGTGTTATGTTCTTCCTTTCAACAACTCCGTTTTGTTGGGGGGTTTTGGCTGCAGAAAATTGTTGTGTGATACCGAGAGATTCATAGAAATCAGTGAGAGTTTGATTCTTGAACTCGGTACCATTGTCAGTTCTTGTAATGCGAACACTCATCTGTAGCAGGTTTTGAATGGTTCTGATAAAGGTCATAATGGTTTCGGCAGTCTCGTCCTTTGTACGAAGAAATTTTGTCCATGTGTACCTCGAGAAATCGTCAACGATAACAAGAGTGTACTTGCGACCGTTGATGCTTTGGACTCTCATAGGTCCACACAGATCCATGTGAATTAACTGCAGTGGATGTGTAGAGGATGGAACAGGCTTTGACTTGTGGGAGCTTCTTATCATCTTGCCTAGTTTACAGGCACTACAGTGGTTTTCAACGGAAGACTTCAACAGAGGAAGCCCCTTCACAAGTTTCTTGGAGGATAAGATGGATAGATTTTTGAAATTCAGGTGGAAAAGACGCATGTGCCACAAACTATTCTGCTCAGTTGAAGCTT